GGGAATGGCATGAAGTAATCAAGGTCATGAAAAACAAGGATATGAATACAAGACTACTTTATCCAGCAAGCCTATCATTCAAAATGGTAAAATAAAGAGCTTCCCAGACAATAAAAAAGCTAAGGGATATATTAGCACCAAACTAGCACTACAAGAAATATTAAAAGAACTGCTATAATTAACAGAAGAAATGGGAAGAAAAATATAACCATAATATGCAAAAATGGCAATAAATAAGTATATACCAATAATAACTTTAAATGTAAATAGATTAAATGCTCTGATCAAAAGACACAGAGTAGCAGAATGGATAAGAAAGCATGACTCATATATATGTTGCTTACAAAAGACTTACCTCACAACAAAGACTCACATAGGTTGAAAGTGCAGGGATGAAAAAAAAATTTCCAAGCAAATGGAAAGGAAAAATAACTGGGGTAGCAATACTCATATCCAATGAAATAGACTTCAAAATGAAGGCCACACTAGAGATAAAGAAGGCCACTATATAATACTGAAAGGATCTATCCAACAGGAGGATATGACCTTAGTAAATATATATGCACCCAACATAAGCACCAAAATATATTTAAAAACTTCTGGAGGACTTCAAAGGAGAAGTCAACAGCAATACAATTATAGCAGGGGACTTCAACACCCCACTGACATCACTGGATAGATTCTCTAAACAAAAATTAACAAGAAGAGAGAAATTCCAAATGATGCACTAGATCAAATGGATTTAATGGATATCTACAGAGAATTACACCCCAAAACTGCAGAATTCACATTCATCTCAAGTGCACATGGGACATTCTCAAAGACAGAACACATATTAGGACACAAACTAAACTCTACAAGTTCAAGAAGATCGAAATCATATCAAGCATCTTCTCAGATCACAATGGCAAAAAACTAGAAATTGTATTACAAAAAAACATGCAAAACCACTCAAACACATGGAGGCTAAATAGCATGTTATTAAACAATAAATGGATACCAAGGAGATCAAGAAAGAAATTAAAAACTTCTTGGAAACCAATGAAAATGAATACACAACAACACAAAAATCTATGGTATGCAGCAAAAGCAATCTTGGGAGGGAAGTTCATAGCACTACAGGCCTACCTCAAAAAACAAGAAAAATGTCTAATTGACTTTCTAACCCTACAACTTAAAGAACTAAAAAGTAAACAAAAAGAAATTCACAGCAAGGAGAAGGAAAGAAATAATAAAGGTCAGAGCAGAAATAAATGGCATAGAAACAGACAAACAAACAAAATTTAAAAGATCAATGAAACAAAGAGCTGGTTCTTTGAAAAGATAAACAAGATTGATGGACCTTTAGCCAGACTACCAAGAAACAAAAGACAGGACCCAAATAAACAGAATCAAAAATGAAAGAGGAGAAGTATCAACTGACACCACAGAAATACAAAAGATCATTACAAAATACTATGAACAATCATATGCCAAAAATCGAACAATCTAGGTGAAATAGTCAAATTTCTAGAAACACATAGCCTCCCAAAACTGAACCAGGAAGAGATAGAAAACTTGAACAGACCAATAACAACTAAGGAAATTGAAGATGTGGTAAGGAAACTGAGCAAACAAAAGCCCAGGCCTGGATGGCTTCCTAGAGGAGTTTTACTGAACATTCAAAAAAGATCTAACACCTGTTCTCAAACTATTCCAAAAAATCCAAGAAGAAGGAAGACTTTCAAACTCATTTTGTGAGCCCTGAATAATTCTAATTCGAAAACCAGATAAAGACACTACATGGAAAGAAAACTACAAGCCAGTATCCCTAATAAATATAGATGTAAAAATCCTTAACAAAATATTAGCAAATCAAATCCAACAATACATTAAAAAAAGTATTCACTATGATCAAATGGGATTCATCTCGGGGATGCAAGGCTGGTACAATATTTGACATCAATAAATGTGATATACCACATAAACAAAAGGAAAGATAAAGACCATATAATCATATCAATAGATACTGAAAAAGCATTCAACAAAATCCAGCATCCATTTCTGATAACAATGCTCAGCAATATGGGAATAAGGGGTCATAACTCGACATAATAAGGGTCATATATGAAAAACCTACAGCCAACATCATATTCAATGAGCACAAACTAAAAGCATTTCCCTTAAGAATAGGAGCAAGACAGGAATGCCCACTTTCTTCACTCTTATTTAACATAGTACTGGAAGTCTTAGCTACAGCAATTAGACAAGAAGGAAAAATAAAAGGGATCCAAATTGGAAAGGAGGAAGTGAAACTGTCATTATTCACAGATGACATATTATACATAGAAAACCCTAAAAACTCCATCAAAAATCTACTCAATCTAATAAATAAATTTGGCAAAGTAGCAGGATACAAAATTAATACCAAGAAATCGATGACATGCTTATACACCAATAATGAACTCACAGAAAGAGAAACTAAAAAAAAAAAAAAAAATCCCATTTACCATTGCAGCAAAAAAAAAAAAAAAAAATCCCCAAAAACCCTGAGATACCTAGGAATAAACTTAACCAAAGAAGTAAAGGAGCTATTTGCAGATAACCATAGAACATTGAAAAAAGAAATAGAGGACTATATAAAAAAGTGGAAGCATATACCTTGTTCCTGGATTGAAACAATTAACATCATTAAAATGTCCATACTACCCAAAGCAATCTATAGATTCAATGCAATCTCCATTAAAATACCAATGATATATTTTACGGAACTAGAACAGATATTTTAAAAGTTTATATGAAACAAAAAAAGACCCCCAATAGCCACAACAATCTTGAAAAAGAATTACAAAGTAGGAGGGATCACAATACCGGAAATCAGATTATACTACAAAGCCATTGTAATAAAAACAGCCTCGCACTGGCATAAGAACAGACATATAGATCAATGGAAGAAAACAGAGAAACCAGAAATTGACCCAAGACATTATCCTCAATTAATATTTGACAAAGGTGGCAAGCGCATACAATGGAGTAAAGACAGCCTCTTTAATAAATGGTGTTGAGAAAATTGGACAGCTACATGCAAAAAAATGAAGCTAGACCTCCAACTTACACCATACATGAGAATAAACTCAAAATGGATAAAAGACTTAAACATAACTGATGAATCCATAAAAATACTAGAAGAAAATGTAGGCAACAAATTTTCAGACATCACATGCAGCAGAATTTCACTGATACAACACCTAAGGCAAGAGAAACAAAGGAAAAATTAATAAATGGGACTACATCAAACTAAAAAGCTTCTGCACAGCAAAAGAAACAACCATCAAATGGAAAGGCAACCCACTGTATGGGAGAACATCATTGCCAAGGATACATCATATATCAGGTAAATTTCCAAAATGTATAGAATACTCATACAGCTCAACAAAAGGAAGACAAAGGATCCAATTAAAAAATGGGCAGAGGACTAAATAGACACTTCTCCAAATAGGACATACAAATGGCCAAGAGACATATGAAAAAATGCCAAACGTCACTAACCATCAGAGAAATGCAAATTAAAATGACTATGAGGTATCACTTTACACCTGTCAGAATGGCTGCCATCAACAAATCTTCAAACAACAAGTGCTGGTGAGGGTGTGAAGAAACGGGGACTCTAGTACACTGCTGGTGGGAATGCAGACTGGTGTAGCCATTATGGAAAAGAATATGGTGTTCCCTCAAAAAACTAAAAATTGTACTGCCATTTGACCCAGTGATCCCACTCTTAGGAATATACCCTAAGAAGCCTGACACAACAATCAGAAAGAATATTTGTACCCCCATGTTTATAACAGCACTATTTATAATTGCTAAGATCTGGAAACAGCTCAAGTGTCCATCAGTAGATGAGTGGATAAGAAAGCTGTGGTACATATACACAATGGAATACTATGCGGGTGTAAGAAAGAAGGATCTCTTATCCTTTGAGACAGCATGGAGGGATCTGGAGAATATTATGCTAAACTAAATAAGCCAATCAGAGAAAGACAAATATCCCATGATCTCACTTATTTGTGGAATGTAATGAACAAAATAAGCTGATGAACAAAATAGACCCAGAGACATAGTAGTAGGGTACAGAATGAGAAACCTCAGAAGAGGGGGATGGGTGGTAGGGAGGAAAGAGATAAATCAAAGAACTTATATGCGTGTATGCATCACCAATGGACATAGACAACAACATTGTGTGTGGGAGTGTGCGTGGGAGTGTGGGTGGGAGCAATACGGGGAGGAGAAAATGGGGGAAAAAAGAGAAACGTCTGTACCAAACATAAATTAATAAGAATAATAATAAATAACTTTGCTTCTGTGTTTCCTTGTCAGCAAAGTTACCCTGAGCTTAGTGTTTAAGTGGGGGCTCACAGGTTTCCTGAGCAGAGTTATCATACAGCTAAGTTTACTTTTTGTCCCCACTTTTGGGAGCATTCCTTTACTTTAGTTTTAAAAAAATTATCATTTCATTAAAATATTTTGCAACAAGTCTGCATGTGTTAACTTTACTACTATGTTTGTAATAAAATGAACATTTATGATCATCTTTCCTCATATATTAAAAAATATTTTAAGTTTTAAAATGTGATCTAAAAAAAAGTATGTGTCCTTGCAAATAACTACTTCTGGTATGGTTAAGCTTTTTTTCAGGTGGTATTGTTGTGCAATGGGAGGAGCAGTGGGTGGGACACTTTGGTTTCAGTTCTCTCACCTTTGAATGAAGTAGTTCAGTTAGAAAAAGTGGTTTATCAGAATGACCCATTTGTTAGACATGCTGATGACCTCGCTCCCCTCTCCTTTCCTCCCCGGCCCATCAGACACTGATTCAGTGGGTCTGGCAGGGACCCAGGGGTATGCAAGATGATTCTGATATAGGTAGTCTGAAAATTATGTTTTGAAAAAGATTGAATGAAATGATCTATAAATTCCATTCTACCTGCATGATGCTATGATAGAAATAATTTTATCTGACTTACCAAGTTTTCGCTCATCTCCTTTAAGTCCTTAAGTTGGTATATGTCATTTTGTCCAGAATTACTACCGATTGGTACGTCTAAAATTTTAAAGGTACCACGATAATACTCTATTTTCTGGCCTGTGATGGAAAGGAAAAGTAGAAAATTAAGTCGTTTTGGCATAGAATTCAAGTTCCAAGTATAATGAGGCTAATATGGTCTTGAGTATATTGCTGAGATTTTTCTAATTTAGTTTCATAAGATGTATGATAAAAATAATGATTATTATTGTATATAAATCACAGCTTCTTACATTTTTTGAATGCCTATTATGTGCCAAGCCCTCTTCTGGGCACTTGACGTGTATTAATTCCTCACTCACCTCCATTTCACTGATGAGAAAAGTGAGGCTCAAAGGTGTTAAGTAACTTGCTCTATGCTATGCAAGTGGTAAGAGACCTACAGGGCTTTTAAACCCAGACAGTCTGACTCTAGCATTGGAACATTTAATTACCATATTATCCCCTGCTGAGGTGAAATGTATACCATCTTATACTCTATTGGAAGTAGAGGTAAGTAAAAATCCTTATAATTTTTAATTTGTAATGTGAGAACTGGGCACACTAAGAAATACACAAAAAGAAAGGCAGGGGGAAAACTGTCTGGGGTTGGAAGTGAGAACAGTGTGTAACTGGGATGAATCAGTCAGAAAGGGGAAAAAAGCAGAACAGTGGAAACTACTGAGTAATTTGGTAATTTTAGGAGTAGAGCCTGGGGGTGGAGGACTGGGTGGGCAAGAAAGCTACAAATCAGTTAGATGTTGAGTATAGAGCAACTACAAAACCTTTCTCCTTGGGGAGCCTGGTGTAGGGAGGACACAGTGAGGTTTCTCATGGATCTAGGAAAGACACAAGGACCTCAGAATAGTCTGTCTCCTAAGTGGGACGTCTCTGGATAAGTAATGCTTTTTTGGTCCCCCTGAGACTTAGCTATACAATTCATACTGTTATCAATTCTTTTACTCATAGCAAAGGAGCTTTTGTGCACTCAAATTAACTGACCTAAGAATCTTTTGCCATCGTGTAAATTATAGGTGTTCTTTAAAGCTCTTAATGGAGTCTTCAGACCCTCATTAAGCCTGACGAAGGTGACAACAAATAAGACCATTCAAATTAGCAGCCTGCACTAGTTGTGACTCTGACATCTGGGTTAGAGTCACATTGTGAAGATTTGTCAGCAAATGTAAATGGTTTTCACTCTGTGCAGAGAAAGATGCAATGCAAGCAAAGAGAATTCTAAAATGCATTATTTGTGTGATTATAAATATATCAGGCAATAAAAAAATCCCTGAATACTATTTTGGAAAGAGTGAAATTTTTTTCTCTAACAATAAGTAACAACATTGTGTCATGTTTATAGTTTTCCAGTCATTTCAAAATGTGTTATTTCATTGGACATATGTTTTTCTTTTACCCTGGAAATGTTGGTGGACAGAAAAATGATGAGTAAAAGAGCCAATTTTAGTAACTAATTTATCATAGGTTTCCACTTGAATATACAATGAATGATTAAACTTATTTAGTATAATTACTAGTAAATTTCAGACCATTACTGTTCTTGATCTTTTGTGTAGATTATCAAAAGAATACTGGATTGTGAGCTCCAAAAAGATAGAAAATTGGTCTGCTTTGCTTAATGCTGTATCTTGAGTACTCAGAAAAGTATTTGCATATAATAGGCATTCAGTTATTATTTTTTGATGAAATGATTGAATAAAAATATTCAGAATGTGGGCATTTACAGGTAGAAGTACACAATTTGGTTGTTTTTTTTTGGATGAAATTATGTTTACATATATGCAAATGAAGCTGTACAGAAAAATGAACTCAGACTGAACAAAATCAGTAATTTTACCTACCAGGGGCTAAGAAGTGAGCCAGAAGACCGATGGTTACTGCCACCACAATCAGTAATAACAGGATGAGAAGGGCAATCATCCATGGTTTCAAACCTCCACTCCGGGAGCCAAATCCTACGGCTCTGCATAAAGGAAAACTCACCAGTTACTCTCATGTTGTTATGGTCCCAGGTTTTCTGGTTCTCCATAAAGAAGTGCAAGTTGCTTTAGCCTACCTCTCCCAGCAAGAAGATATTTGCCTTTAATTTTGGTCAAGGTCATCCTGATGTGAGGGGAGGTATGAAAAAGATCAGAATTTGGGAATCCATAATATTGCTTCTGGTTTCTATTTCTAGAAGCAGTTGATGGCTCTCTGTGGTGGCCAGTTCTGACTTTTCTTTTTTTCTTTTTTTTTTTTTTTTATCCTCACCCGAGGACATTTTCCCATTTTTTTGTTCAGGTAGAGTGGGAGGGAGAGAGAGGAACAGAGAGAAACATTGACGTGAAAGGGACACATCGAGTGGCTGCCACCCGCACGACTGACCAGGGCCGGGGACAAACTGCAACCGAGGTACGCGCCCTTAGCGGGAACCGAACCCGGGTCTCTCAGGACCGCAGGTCAACGCACTAACCGCTGAGCCAAACCGGCCAGGGCCTGACTTTTCTTAACAGTGCTGTTTAAAGTAGCACACAAGCTTCTTTCTCCAACACTTCAAAAAAGATCTCTTTTATTGTCTATCCTTTTAGAATTTACAAAGTGATTTCAAATCTATTATTGCACTTACTTTTATTTTATTTTTTATTTATCTTTTATTTTTAACTGGCTGTGGAAAGGCAATGTGTCCTCTGATGGACAAGAGCTAAGCGATAGAAGCGAGAAGCAGAAGCCCCATGGGAAGTTACATTACTTAGTCTTTAAATGGCTTAAAACTTAAAAATAAAAAAATGAGAAAGAATTTAGAAACTGTTTATTATAGTTTCATGTATTTTCCAGATGAAGAAACTGAGGCCCAGAGATAAATGACTTCTCCAATATAATAGAACTAGTAGTAATCTCAAATTCATGAATTCTCACTCGACGTAATTTCTCTTCAGTGCGACTGCTTCTCCATTGATTGCATTTCAATTTTTAAATATACTTATTATTTATATAATTATTTAGTTGCTCACTCATTTATTCATTTGACATTCATTTTCTCAGAGAATCTTATCAATATGTCTCCAAGTCATTCAAAAGCACAAAAAAGAACCAAAAACTCAAGGAGTTTTATGAACTCTGAAATCTATCTTCTTGCCAGGTGGCCCACTCCATCTTCAAAGCCAGCAGTGAGGAACCTCCCTCACATTAAATCTTTCTCCCCAACCTCTCCAACACTTTTTGTTCCTTGTCTTGTTGGTAATAGCCTTTCTATCAGCTGTGAAATATATCTCATTGTAGTTTTGATTTGCATTTCCCTAATAGGTAGTAAAGTTAAGCATCTACCAATAAAGTTTGAAAATATTTATTTGCAAAGATGTATGCACCCCTATGTTCATTGCAGCATTATTCACAGTGGCCAAGACATGAAAACAATGGAGATGTTCTTAAATAGATGATTGCATAAAGAAGAAGTGGTACATCAATACAAAGAAATATTACTCAGCCATAAGAAAAGATTAAGTACTGTCATTGGTGACAACATCATTGGATGTTGAGATTATCATGCCAAGTGAAATTAGTCAGACAGAAAAAGTCCAGAACCATATGTTTTCACTCATGTGAGATATAAAACTGAAAGCAACAAATGAAAAAATAAGACTAACAAAAACTTATGGATACAACACTATGGTGATTACCAGAGGGAAAGGGGGAATAGAGGATAGTAAAGCATAAAGGGGGTTAAATATATGGTGATGGAAAAAGACTTGACTTAGGGTGGTAAACACAATGCAACATACAGATGATGTGTTATATGAAATTGCACACTTGAAACCTATATAGTTTTATTAATAAATGTTATCCCAATAAATTTAAGAGAAATAGAAAAAATTTTAAAAGCAAACAAAGAATTTTATGAAGTGAAGGTAGAGGTTATTTTACTGATCAGAGAGGCCACCCATCTTTATTTTGGTTAAGTCTTGAATTTGTTTTTGCCTTCATATCTTATTCCTTTCCACTGCCTTTAAATTCTCATGAATTTTCAAAAAGTTGGGATTTCTTTCCTTTCCCCCTCCTTTGTCCCTTGGAATTTTCTGGCAATAGATATGTCTTTTGTTCTGATGAGGTAACTTGGTGGGATCCCGTATAGATTCAAGGTGGGTGTTGTCACCCAAAAGACAAAGCTATGACTAGAAATTTGGAATTTTCAGCTCCAACCACCTATCCTTTGAGAGGGACTGAAGATTGAGTTGACAATCGATCATACCTGTGAAATGAAGCCTCTATAAAATTCCAGTAGTATGGGGTTCAGGAAGCTTCTGGGTTGGGAGGGTGGCACAATCCAATTCCACAAGGATAGAATCTCCTGCATTCAGGACCCTTCTTTTATTTTTATTTTTTTATTTTTTTTATCCTCACCCGAGGACACTTTTCCATTTTTTGTTCAGATAGAGCGGGAGGGAGAGAGCGGAAGAGAGAGAGAGAGAGAAACATCGATGTGATGGGGACACATCGCGTGGCTGCCACCCGCACGACCAACCAGGGCCGGGGACAAACTGCAACCGAGGCACATGCCCTTAGCGGGAACCGAACCCGGGTCTCTCTGTACCGCAGGCCAACGCTCTAACCGCTGAGCCAAACCGGCCAGGGCTCAGGACCCTTCTAGACCGTTGTATGTTGTCTCTTCATCTGGTTGTTCATTCATACTTAAAATATCCTTTGCAGTTAACTGGTAATATAGTAGGTAAACTGTTTTCCCGAGTTTTGTGAGCTGCTCTAGCAAATTAATCAAATTCAAGGAGGGGATTGTGGGGAATGTCAATTTATAGCCAACTGGTCAGAAGTACAGATAACAGCCTGGAGTCTTGATTGGCATCAGAAGTGGGGCAAGGGCAGTCTTATGGGACTGAGCCCTTAACCTATGGGGTCTGTACCACTGATTTCTGTCAGAAATGAACTGAGTTGTAGACAGCTGGTGCTCGAGAATTGTGTGGGGGAAAACCCCTTACAGCTGGGGTCAGAAGTGTTGTGAGTGTGGTAGTAGTGTGAAAGTAAAGAAAAATACAGAGAGTTTTTTCAAGACAAAGGTTAAAAAAATTCTTTTAAGTTTTCACCTGCCTGGACAAATGTTCTGTAGCCATGCTGTATTGCAGATATGGCCTCATCTTTTAGAATAGAAGAGCGTGGCTTCAATCCCTGCTTGTAACACTTTAACATCTATCTTGAGAAATTTATGAGACCTCTCTGAATTTCAATTGTCCCACCTTAAAGTAGTGACAATAAATACTACTCAGAGATGTGAGACAATGAAGTGAGTAATGGACTCTAGCACATATCAAATTTCTTCTCTGGGTCAGGAGTTTTCATATGAACTATCTCATGAAGTTGTAACCACGGCTTCATGGAGTACTGAGTGACTAGCAATATGAAGCTTTTACTCAGATTTTAAAATTAAAAAACAAAAGTTGTTTTTGCTTGAAAATTACTTTTTAAAAAAAGCAGATATCTTCATAGTTAAGCTCTGACTCCAGACTGCCTCCAATCCCAATTCTTCCACTTCATTACCTGTGATGATGTAGGGCCAGTTACTTTTTCGTTCATAAAATGGAGATAATGATAGTACCTAATCACAAGATCGTTGTGACAATTAAATGAGCTATCATAATGTGTCACTTATATGGCACACAGTAAGCACTATGAGTTTGCTGAAAACTGACAAAGCAGTAAAATTTAATTGATAATTTATACAAAGCTTCGCAGGCAGTAAGAAACATGGTTTTACTTCGCTGTTTTTATTTTAACTCTGAAGATAGTGTTTGAATGTATTAGAGAATGGGAGTGGCAAATTAACAAATTGATTAAAATGAGTATTCAGAATGAGATTAAAATAGAAAACATCTAGAGAAGGAACATGAAGAGGAGGAACCTAATTTTTGCCTTTATTAAGCAATGCCAAAAACAATGAGCTATAGGAGGAAAGAGAGAGAGAGAGAGATACAGACTTCTGGGAAAAGGACAACAATCACAGATGAAGTCATTTGGTATTTTATTTATATAAGAGAAATAATTGAGGTTTTAAGTGAGTGATTCACCCAATTAAATTTTTGGGGAAGAATAGGGGTTTGTATATTGCTAAAGGCAAGGTTCAAACACTAAAGATATCTCTGAGATGTAGAGAAGAGGGTCACTAAGCCCACAGAGAAGAAACAAAAAGGTTCAATATAGCAGAAACTGCAAAGACATGGATCAAATATATTTTGACAAGGATTCCACATTGTATTTCTCATTAGCAGAGAAGAAATAATGGTGAGCATGACTGTAGAATGAATTGTAGAATTAACGTAGGTGAGACACAGGGTGTCATAGTATACAGATTTCCCGCACTCTCTGGAAGTGGAGCATGTCTATGAAACCTCTCTTAAGCCAAAATGGCACAAAGGGAAGAAACGGTTATCATTAATTTATATGAAAAATTTTTTTTAGCATTCCCAGATCCTCAAAATAACCTACCAGAGCATACTAACAGCACATGAAACCTCTACTGACACTGGCATGTAGCAGGAGCAGCCTCTGTAATGGCTCACTGTAACACCAACACTGAATGCTATTGTCATTCTTTTTTGGTAGAAGCTAAAATCCTCTTTGGGTTTCTTTCAGATAACAAAAACAGATACTAATGTAGATCTTTTGTAAAAGAAGTGGTGTAACATGATCTTTAAAAGTGCGGGATACCTGTAATTATTAAGCATTTGGTTTGCCTCAGTCCTTAAATTTGCCTCCTAGTGTGACCTGTCACCTGCAAATCCTCTAAATCCTGGATTAGTGTTCTTTGAATTTATCTTAAAGTAACTATAAATATTTGATATTTCCTACTGTCCATTTTCTTTGTTTTGTTTTTACATATTTTCATTGATTTTTAGAAAAATAAGAAAGAGAGAGAGAGATCCATGTGAGAGAGAAACATTGATTAGTTGCTTCTTTATGCACCCCTTTTGGGAATCAAACCCGTAACCTGAGCATGTGCCCAGACCCGGAATCAAACCAGGGACCTGTTGATGCATAGGATGATACTCAACCAACTGAGCCATACCAATCAGGGCTGTCCTCTTTACCAAGTGTTATGGATATCCTAAACAAGAGCGTTGCTTTCCAATATTATTCCTGTAATTTATTTCCCAGAAACTAAACATAACCTTATAAATGTAAATGTTCATTAGAAAAGACAACTTTTGGTGTCTATAATCATGAGACTTCATATTTTGAAAAGAATAATTTGGGGAATGTGCACTAGAAAAGGTTGAAACTACTGCTTTACACATTGTGATTTCAGTTAACATGGAAGATACATTTTCAAAATCAATGAGTTTTAATAAGCAAAACATTAATGCTAGACAGTCACGTTTATTTGCTCATTCATGTGTTCACCAAATATTTATGGAGTGCCAATTATATGTGAAGCATTCTAGACCTGTTCTAAGGATCGCAGAGAAACTTTAACAACTACTATGTGCTCACTAAAGGACTGATACAAATATTATTAGTAGAGAAGGAAGCCTAGGGAAGTTCACTAACTTAGTGGTCAATCAGTGTCAAGTTTTCATCTCTGAGATTTCCCAGGTGGAATCCTTGTCACCTGGAGAGTCTGCAAGAGTCCAGGAGGACGAAACCTGAGGAGCTGTCTTTGCAGCTCTCTGGTTCTGTCATCACACAGCTCTGTAGCCCTGGCGAGTTCCCTTCACTTCTGTTTCCCCCAGGTTTCTCACTTTAACACGGGAGTTAACGATACTCCTCCTACTAATTTCACAAAGGTGTCCAGGATAGTAAATGAAATAACATACATAAAAATGTTTTGAAAATGGCATAAGTCTAAGCCATGGTGAAGTACTATTATGATTCTAGATGTTTAAAATCATTATCTTAATTGTGTATAAAGTTATGTCCAGAAATTTCACTTTTTCCTTTCTTAGGCATGTAGCAAATCCCATCTGAAAAACCAAAACCTTGAAATAATTCATAGTTTTATTTTTTCTTAATATTTAATAGAAAAAAATTTTAGAGACTAGACATGTTTTTCCCAATCCGCGTTTCCTTTTTTCTTCCTCCCTCCAAGGAACCCTAACATTTCTAGGATGAAGGCAGGTGTCTCTGTAGCTACTGACCTCCAATCGGCATTAGTTTTCAGGGACTGACTTCAATTAAGGTACAAGGAAAAGCAGATAAAGGAAAAGTGCCATAGAAGCCAAATTTAGCTTTTTAAAAACAAATGAACACCCTTTTCCTACCCCTCACATCAGAATCAATCAGGATGCAATGTAATATAGTTTTCATTAACTTCTAAAATTCCAACTATTGAACTTGGCAATGTGAAATAATGCTAGCAATAGTCTTTTTAATACAAAAACACTGGTTTTAAATACAGAGATTAATCAATCAAACTGCTATAACAATTTAAGATATCTCACAAAATACAATGCAGATTGAATCCACTGAGGACGCCTCACAGGCACCTCCAACATGCCAGGAATCTAGCCACTGACAGACAGCAGAGCAAACAAGCCATTTACAAAACAAAACTGCACTTACCGATACATCATCTACAGAAGAAAAAATATGATCTTGGAAGCATGCACCCACTGAACTCGACTTTCTAATCAACTAAATGACATCTCTACATATATTAAAGGTCTACAGCTAGAAGAAATAAGGAAACAAATTACAAGTAGTTGAAATGAAACTAGTTTGACAAGTCTGAACAGAGAAGTCTCAACCCATAGAATAACGAAGAAAACAGCCCAGAGACAGCATAGTCCCAACAAGAAAGTGATACCTTTTTTTCAGTATTGACTAATTTTGTCAAAGGAAAAAAAAACTAGTTGTAAGGATTTGAATGAGAAATACCTAAGGAATGCAATAGGATTAAGAGTTTAAAGAAGATTATTGGTCGGTATTCAGATATCTTAAAGAAACCTTCACATAAAAGCTCTCAGTAAAAACAACCAGATACTCTTGAAACACATATTCATAAAATAACTCCAGAAATACTCTTAAAATTTTTTGTTAAAAAACAGCTATCTCTCTGTATCACAGGGATATAGTGAATTTATTAATACATAATTATTTTTATTAAAAAATCTACTTCTGAGAGTATATAAATAAATTTACATCAAATCAGATTTTCCCCAAACGACTTAATATAATAAATGTACATTATAATTTATATTTATGTTATATATATTACACATCTCTATATGAAGAGAGATTTATCAGTATAAAGAAACAAAAAAAATCATAGAAACAAATAATATTTTCAATACATTTTAATTAGACAATTAGACAAATAACAAATATCTGCTCTTTGTGAATATTGAAATATGAGAAATGAGACTGAGTCTCTGTTTGATCTTGTCCTAAAAAGGACCATATTTTTATAGATCATACTAAGTATTTACACACATACATTTATATTTATAAAACACATGTGAATGTTAAACAGCATCATATTGTACACATCCTTCAGCAGATTTTTTTCCACTTAATATTTTGAGGATCTTTCTATGTTGGAAAACACAGATCTACCATCTTCTTTTGACAGCTATATGAAGTATGAACATACTGTTTAGTCTTGATTATAATCTTACAACAAAATTATATCCATTTGAAGGGAAACACTACTTTATTTTTTTTCTTCATAAATGTTCATAGCAGCTTTATTTGTAATAGCCAAAAACTAGGGGTTTGTTCATTACCTTGTGAATAAATAAAAAAATATGTGCTATATCCATACAATGGAATATTACTTAACAATATAAAAAACTAACTACTGGAACATGCAACCGCAAGGAGGAAACTCAAAAGCTTTATGCTAAGTGAAGCATTAAATAAAGGTTTACAGCAGTCATTGCTTCTAACACTTAAGGAGGAGAGTACATTTGAAATAATCTTAGACAGTACTGCACAGTATGTAGCAGATAGATTCTTCAGAATCAAAGTGCCAGGCCTCAAATCTTAGCAGTCTATAATATAGAAATAATACTAGTGACTACCTTGTAGGGCTTTTTTAAAAAAATTATTATTGAATAATTTACTATTTATTTATTTTTGTTACAGATGTTTCTCATTTTTCCCCCATTGACACCATCCTCCCCTCCCCCCCTCCTCATCCCCAGCTTTGTTGTCTATGTTCATTGGTCATGCATACATACTTGTAAGTCCTGTGGTTTATCTCTACCTCCCAACCCCCTTCTCTGATGCTTATCAATCTGTACCCCACCTCTATGTCTCTGGGTTAATTTTGTTCATCTGGTTGTTTAGTTCATTATATTCCACAAATAAGTGGGATCATGTGATATTTGTCTTTCTCTGTTTGGCTTGTTTCGCTTAGCATAATACTCTCCAGGTCCTTCCATGCCATCTCAAAGAATAAGAGATCTTTCTTACAGCTGCATAGTATTCCATTGTGTACATGAACCACAGCTTTTTTATCCACTCATCTACTGATGGACACTGGGTTGTTTCCAGATCTTAGCTATTGTAAATAGTGCTGCTATAAACATAGGGGTACATATATTCTTTCTGATTGGTGTTTCAGGTTTCTTAAGGTATATTCCTAGAAGTGGGATCACTGGGTCAAATGGCAGTTCAATTTTTAACTTTTTGTGGTAAAACCATAGTGTTCTCCACAGTGGCTGCATGAGTCTGCATTCCCAGCAGCAGTATACTAGAGTCCCCTTTTCTTCACACCCTCGCCAACACTTTTGATGGTTGTTTCTTTTGCTGTGCAGAAGCTTTTTAGTTTGATGCAGTCCCCAGTGTTCATTCTTCCTTTGTTTCTCTTGCCTTAGGTGTTGTATCAGTGAAAATTCTGCTGCGTATGATGTCTGAGATTTTGTTGCCTGCATTTTCTTCTAGAATTTTTATGGATTCATGAGTCACATTTAAGTCATTTATCCATTTTGAGTTTATTCTCATGTATGGTGTAAATTGGTGTTCTAGCTTCATTTTTTAATGAGTAGCTGTCCAATTTTTCCAACACCATTTATTGAAGAGACTGTCTTGACTCCATTGTATGCTCTTGCCACTTTTGCCAAGTATTAATAGAGCATATTGTCTTGGGTCAATTTCTGGGTTCTCTATTCTCTTCCATTGATCTATCTGCCTGTTCTTATGCCAGTGCCAGGCTGTTATGATTACAGTGGCTTTGTAGTATAATCTGAAATCTGGTAATGTGATCCCTCCTAGTTTGTCCTTCTTTTTCAAGATTGCTGTGGCTATTTGGAGTCTTTTTTGGTTCCATATAAACTTTTGGAGTGTTTGTTCTAGTTCTGTGAAGTATGTTGTGGGTATTTGGTGGAGAGTGCATAGAATCTATAGATTGCTTTGGGTAGCATGGACATTTCAATGATGTTAATTCTTTCAATCCATGAACAAGGTATGTGCTTCCACTTTTTTATATCTTCCTCTATTTCTTTTTTCAATGACCTGTAGTTTTCTGAGAATAGGTCTTTTACTTCTTTGGTTAAGTTTATTCCTAGGTATCTTAATTTTTTAGCTGCGATGGTAAGTGAGATTTTTTTTTGTTAGTTTCTCTTTCTGTGATTTCATCGTTGGCATATAAGAATGCCATTAATTTATTGACATTAATTTTGTATCCTGCTACTTTGCCAAATTCATTTAGTAAGTCTAGTAGATTTTTGATGGAGTCTTTAGGGTTTTCTATGTACAATATCATGTCATCTGCAAATAATGACAGTTTTACTTTCTCCTTTCTAATTTGAATCCCTTTTATTTTTTCTTCAAATCTAGTTTCTGTGGCTGAGATTTCCAGTACTATGTTAAATAAGAGAGGCAAAAGTTGGTATCCCTGTCTTGTTCTCATTATTAAATGAAATGCTTTTAGTTTTTGCCCATTGAGTATGATGTTGGCTGTAGGTTTTTCATATATGGCTTTATTATGTTGAGATATGATCCCTCTATTCCCACATTGCTGAGCATTTTTATCAGAAATGGGTGCTGGATTTTGGTGAATGCTTTTTCAGCATCTATTGATATGATCATATGGTTTTATCTTTCATTTTGTTTATATGGTATATGACATTTATTAATTTGCAAATATTGTACCATCCATGCATGCTTGGGATGAAACTCACTTGGTTATGATGAATAATTTTTTTGATGTATTACTGGATCCGATTTGCTAATATTTTGTTAAAGAGTTTGGCATCTGGACCTGGCCAATTTGGCTCAGCGGTTAGAGAATCAGCCTGCAGTCCAGAGAGACCTGGGTTCTGTTCCTGCTAAGGGCACATACCTTGGTTGCAGTTTGTCCCCGGCCCTGGTTAGGTCGTGTGGGTGGCAGCCACTCGATGTGTCCCTTTCATGTCCATGTTTCTCTTTCTCTCTTTCTCCTACTCTATCTGAACAAAAAATGGAAAAAATGTCCTCGGGTGAGGATAAAAAGTAAAAAAAAAAAGAGAGAATTTGGCATCTGTGTTTATTAGGGATATTGGCTTGTAGTTTCCTTTCTTTGTAGTGTCTTTATCTGGTTTTGTAATTAGAATTATGCTGACCTCAGAAAATGAATTTGGAAGTGTTCCGTCTTCTTGGATTTTTTTGGAATAGTTTGAGGAGAATGGGTATTAGATCTTCTTTGAATGTTTGGTAAAACTCCCCTGTGAAGCCATCTGCGCCTGGGCTTTTGTTTGCTGAGAGTTTCTTAATTACATCTTCAATTTCCTTTGTTGTTATTGGTCTTTTCAAGTTTTATATCTCTTCCTGGTTCAGTTTTGGGACTGAACTGTGTATTTCTAGAAATGTGTCCATTTCTCCTAGATTGTCCAATTTGTTGGTGTATAATTGTTCATAGTATGTTTCAATGATTCTTTGTTTTTCTGTGGTGTCAGCTGTTACTTCTCTTTCATTTCTGATTTTGTTTATTTGGTTTCTCTCTTTTTGCTTCTTGGTGAATCTGACTAAAGGTCCATCGATCTGGTTTATCTTTTCAAAGAACCAGCTTTTTGTTTCATTGATCTTTTGAATTGTTTTTTTTAGTCCCTATGTCATTTATTTCTCCTCTGACTTTTACTATTTCCTTCCTCCTACTAGCTCTGGGTTTTTCCTTTTGTTTACTTTCTAGTTCTTTAAGTTGTAGGGTTAGAAAGTCAATTAAAAGTTTTTTTTTGTTTCTTGAAGTAGGCCTGTAGTGCTATGAACTTCCCTCTCAGGACTGCTTTTGCTGTGTCCCATAGATTTTGTGTTGTTGTGTGTTTGTTTTCATTGGTTTCCAGGAAGTTTTTAATTTCTTCCTTGATCTTATTAATAACCCTTTTGTTGTTTAATAACATGTTATTTAGCCTCCAAGGGTTTGAATGCTTTTGTGTGTTTTTATTGTAATTGAGTTCTAGTTTCATGCCACTTTGATCTGAGAAGATGCTTGATATGATTTCAATTTTCTTGTATTTGTAGAGACTTGCTTTGTGTGCTAAAATGTGGTCTATCTTTGAGAGTGACCCATGTGCACTTGAGAAGAATGTATATTCTGCAGCTTTGGGGTGAAATGTTCTGTAAATATCAATGAAGTCCAACTGTTCTAATTTGTCTGGTAAGGACTCTGTCCTTGTTATTTTTTGTCTAGAAGATCTATTCTGTGGTGTCAGTGGCATGTTAAAGTCACCCACTATGATTATGTTACTATTTATCTCTCCCTTGAAGTACTCCAGAAGTTTTTTAACATATTTTG